CACAGCAGTCAAATTAATTTCCTCTCCCTTTTGCCCTGGTTCATACAAACGTTCAAATCCACCACCAAAGTGGCAAGTTCATTTCCAAAACAACCTACTGGCTCAGCAGCTAATTGTAAGTTAAAAACAAGGTGTGGTAGCTGAGTTCAGTTCAAAACCATAAAAGTACTTCATTTCCCTGAGCACTACTATTTACTTGCAGGTTTAAAAAAAGACCCTGACCTGCACAGTTTATAAAAACTTACCGTCCTGCACTGTGAATTTTCTTTAATATTGAAAACTGGATTTAAAAAAAATCACTAGATGGCCCTTATTTTCTGAAGTGTAAAAGGAAAACACTTATGTTTCTATAATGAGAGTATGGGAATTAAATGCTGTGATGTCAGACTAAGTAGTATTACTTTAGCTCCTGTACAGTTGAGTGATTTTACTATAATAGTTTCCTGTAATAATGCTTTTTATCTGTAATACATAGGGGATAGAGAGACTGACAGAGCTGTAATCTTTCTTTCAGAAGCATGGTCTTAAATGAACAGGGGCCAAGTGAAAATATAATTCTGAAAGGAAGATAAAGACGGCCCTATATAAGACTGAAATAAGACATGTCACCATTTCAAGTGAAAGATGTTAGCTTTGAAATTAGTGCCATATATTAAGAAGAGATGTCATATGAAGTCAACTTCGAATTTATGCTACAAGGCCTAGAATTTATTTGTTTGTGGCAAAAGGCTGCATACAATCGCGTGAGTTTTGTACAGCCCCTACTCTTGCCACTGCTATTTGCTGTTTATGCAGAGCTGTGCATTGAATGTGTTTATGAAGTCTAGGGCCCAGCCCCCAAAACCTCACCATTTACTAGACCACAGAACGAACAAACATGTTTTCCTGGTTTCACAGCTGCCTGCGTGTACTTGCAAAGCTCCTCCATGTGTACCGAGGCAAACTAAGCCTGGAACAGCTTCAGCATGGATGGTAGCTTCTACTGGAGCTGCCAACTGCTCATCAGGACGTGCCGAAATTAGCGTCTTCTTCCATTTCTCTCCCCAAACTCCTGAGCTGTCTTTCTTGTGACCTTTTAAGTGTGTATGGTCATCGGTGAATGAAAGGCAAATAACGCCGGTGCCCCTGAACTATACTCTGACCCACCATTGCTACTGCGCAACGCCATCACAATTTTAACGCTGCAGTAAGATTTCATACTGCCCTAAGTTATCACCGGGTTTAACGTGCTCTTATCTATTATTTTTACATCAGGCCGCCCAGTCACGTCAAAGCCCACCGCTACGGTACTTCATCTTCCCTGGGCCCTCACGTGCGATTGCGGAGAACAACCTGGGGAAACGACGGCGACTGCGGTTTATAATCCGCTAGCAGGTGTCGACGGTCGGAGGAGTAGCCTGGCTGCCATGGCTGGTGGCCGTTAGGCTACCGTTAGCCTCCTTCGGCCTAACCTGGAGGCTGGCACCTCAGGCGTGAGGAACCCCGTGGCTGAGGCCCACCGGCCTCACAGCCAAAGGCCTCGGGGCGCTTCAAGAGCCTTCAGCCACCAGCCCGAGAGGTGCAACCTCCATTTTCAGCCGGCCCTGCCCAGGATTTGGGGAAAGTGGGGTTCGTGGGGTGCTG